CATGTGCAGCCACAGAACCGAGCTCAAGATCATGCTCATGGCAGATATGATAGAGAAGGTGTGAGGTCCTGGTGGCCTCAAGGAGGAAGCTACAAGGCATAGGGGGCAGAAAGGGACACGATGCTCAGAGAAATAATGTTATATGCAGTGAAGTGAGCACCACCAACACTTTCTCATTTGGCGAGGCTGTCTAACTTCTTCTGAAAATTATAAGAACAAATGTGGTTACTAATATGTTTGTTCCATTTTGAAAAAACTGTTTCATCATTCTTAAAAGCCAAATGAGTCATTTGTTTTTCTCACCACCTCTGACCAATAAAAAGAGAAGTTTCAGGTGGGCCCTTATACATCCTTATTCTATACACCTGACATGAAGTCGGGGGCCTTGTGGATTGTGGTCAGTCCTGGAGGCCTTAACCATGACCTGTAGGGCAGGAACATGTGGTGCTCTCCCCCTGGTCCAAACCACATGGGCAGGGATGGGACCTCTCCAATTAGGCCTGGACATTTAAAACCCAGGGACTTATCATTCCACTATTTTATATGCAAGATGAGAATTTCTTTATAATAACAAAAAGTAGTTAATTCCCTTATCAAACATAGTAAATTGCTCAAATAATAGTAGTAAAGTAACATAATTTTCTAAATACAAAAAAGGGCTTGGATAGACCTCAAGGGTATTATGCCAAGTGGAAAAAAACCAGTCTGAAAAGGTCATATACATTGTTTACTTTAGGATTTCATTTATATAACATTCCTGATATGACTAAATTACAGAGATGGAGAACAGATTAGTGATTGCTGGAGGTTACAGATGGGGGCTCGGGAAGGGGATGGGTATGAGTATGAAGGGGTAGCACAAAGGAGATCTTTGGAGCGATGAGTAGCTCTGTGTCTTGATTGCAGTCGGACTAAATGGCATAACTCTATAAACACATTTTGCCAATGTCAATTTGCTGGTTTTATTACTATGTTACAGCTATGTAAGTTACAGCCATTGGGAGAACCCGAGTGACCTCTCTATGCTATTTTTGCCAATAGCAAAATAGCTATGAATCTAAAATTATCTCAAAGTGAAAAGAGTTTTTGTTTGGTTGTTTGTTTTTATAAAACCAGCATGCCATGATTAAGAAAGTAAAAAGATGTTGGATGTCTGGGTGGCTCAGTCAGTTAAGTGTCTGACTCTTGATTTTGGCCCAGATCATGATCCCAGGGTTGTGGGATTGAGCCCTGTGTGAGGCTCTGTGCTGACAGTGTGGAGCCTGCTTAGGATTCACTATCTCCCTTTCTCTCTGTCCCTCCCCTGCTCATGTGCATGCATGAAACGTAAATATAAAAAAAAAAAAGTGGAAAGACCAGGCCACCATATGGGAAAAACTCTTTGCAATACATTTATGTGACAAAGGGCTCAAATACAAATTTGTAAATCATTCCTATAAATAAGTCAATAAGGTCAAAGAACTCAATAAAAATGGGCAAAAGACAGTATCTAAACACCTGATGACCACTTAAAAAGGTGTCCAACATCATTATGCGTTATGAAAAGGCAAATTAAAGCCACAGTGCGGTACCACTACACATACCCATTAGAATGGCTAAAATTTAAAAGACTGACAATACTGAGTTTGGTGAGGATATAGAACAATTAGAGTCTTCATATATTGCAGATGGGGATGTAAATTGGTCCAGCCACTCTGGAAAACTCTGGAGAGTTTGAATTCCCCAGGAAGCAAACTCTGTGATGCAGATAAGCATGTTGGAAGTTTATTAGGTAGTACTGTTGGGACTGGCACCTGGGAAAGGAAAGGAAGAGGAAGGAGGTTTGGGCAGAGGGCAGAGCTGGGCTACAGGGCAGTCTCAGGAAAGACCTTAGGAGGAGCACTAAAGCTGGGATGGCCATTTAGAGTTGTTCTGGGTTGGGACTGGGGAGCTTGGTTTTATGCCTCAGATCGGTCACTGAAGACTGAACAATCATTGGATGTGGGCTGGCCTGGGACAGAGTTGTGACCTGCGGTGAGGCACCTCTCCCCAGCCCAGGCAGTCCCAGGGCTGTCCTCCAGTCACACTCTCAGAAGTGAGGGAAATGGCACATCAATCCAAAGAGGGGATCAGCGTGGTACATCAGAGCTCCGCTAGAGTCCACTGCTTGTACTACCCAGGTTTGCTTCCTCATAAAGGTTCAAGAATAGCTCATCTAAAAATTCTGATGGACTCTTTTTGGACAAACTGTAGTCTCTGCTATCTAAGCTGGGGCAGATACCTTTCACATCTCCTATGACCCAGGGTGGCTTTCCTTTACCCTCAGTAACCAACTCTACTGGTCTCAGAGGCTTACCTGACGGTATGAACCAGAGCCTCATTCCTGAGAGCTGAGTCCCTGGTTACAATGCTCTTCTCAGGCCAGGATTCCTTTTACCACCAAAACTGGCCACAAGAGTCACCCAGCTGAGTCACCTGGATATGAACTATATTCCTCCCTGCTCTCCTCCTGATGATTCATTACTGCTAGAACAGTGGTTCTTTTTCTTAACATTAAGTCTCTTGGCAGAAAGAGCAAAAAATGCCCAGGCAGCAGCCATATTTCAGTGGTACTATAGCTGAGTCCCCTAGTGGAAGGATTCCCCTTCTGGGGAACCAGAACCTCTAAACCTACAGAACCCAGACTTGCAGGGATGTGACGCACAAAATCTCGCCATCATTGGGAGTCATGTTATTGTGAAGCCTTTCCTCCTTTTATTGCTTTGTTCTTAGACCAATGTATTCAATCTACTGGGGACAAAGAAGGTCCCAAAGAAGGCATATAAAGGTCACTGATTTAGAGTGTACATTGTGTCCTGGAGGATGACACCCAATCCTGCAAGATACCACCTCCAAATTGGCACGTGAGCTGTTCCTCAACAGGTTATTTCATCACTCTTCTCGGTTATATGGCATTTGATAGAAATAGTGAATCCCATAGTCATGTGCCCAATCACAGAGATGTTTTGCTATAAAGTGGTGGATCACCCTGTAAACTTCAGACAGTAGAGTTGGCTTAAACTCTGGGCAGGAAAGTCAAACCCATATCTAAATATGTCTTTAGTATTGTCAAAATGAGGCACTGTGTCATTAGGATGACAGAGGTTTAAGTAATCAGCCTGGCACTAAGTAGCTAGTTGACCTACTTGAGAGATGGTGCTGTATCAGAGACTTATCACTGATTGGTCACTGTTGCTAGCAGGTTGGACATTCAACAGCAGCATGGGCAACATCAACCTTTGTAAGTGGGAGGTATGCTGCTGGTACCACAGATAGTCGCTATCCCTACTATGATTACTCCATTCATATGTCCATTGTGCCAGCACTGGCATGGCCAATGATAGGGGCTAATGTCAACTGTATTTTTAATGATGTCTTTCTGGATTTTTAATGGTTTTTCCCATGGTGGAGTGTTAACATGAAATACTAAGATCTCCATACTATAAGCTCATTCCCATGTGTCCATCCACATCTTTCTACTCCACACGTCGTTGTCTCTAACCTTCCCGTTTCCTTCCAAACCTTTATCAGTTGGATAAGCCATTTGCTATTGTCCATGGATCTGTGTATATTTTACCCCCTGACTACTTCTCTTATCACACAAAGTGGATGACCAGATTTAAAGCCCAAGGCTCTGCTCGTTGAGAGGATCCCCCCTCACCATTGTCTTTAGGTTCATCCATGAGTATGAACTTCCATCTGTTTTTGACCTGTGCTCAACATTCAAACCAACCCATCTATGAACTGAACTTAGGCTTTTTCCCTCCTCTATCATCAGGTCTTAAGGGAGACCCCAGGTGTCCATAGGTGTGAGCTGAAGAGTCAGCACTCTTCTGCTGAAGCAATTCCCAAAGAGGGCTGACAGCTGGCAGCAGTCCCAGCAGCTAAGAGGAATGTCCTGAAGGAGAATCTGAGGGAATTATTATAAACTCCACCAAAAGCATCAACTAAAGCTAAACATATACGTGCCCTATCACCCAGACGTTCCACTTTAAGGTATAGATGGAAAAGAAATGAGTGCATTTGTCCAATAACAACAAAAAAAAGATATAAAAAAAATCCACAGCAGCTTTTTTCATAATAGTCTCAAGCTGGAAACAGCATATACGTCCATCATCAGAAGAGCTAAATAAATTAGGAGTATAGTCATACAATGAAATACAAAACCATAATACGAAAGAACAAACTGCTGATATATACAATAATGTGGATGAATCTTACAGACATTATGTTGAGTGAAAAAGCCGGAGCCCAAAGAGCATATACTGTCTGATTTCATCTCTATGATTTACCAAGGAAAGGCAGAACTAACTCATGGTATTTGAAGTAAGAATAGTCCTTACTTCTGGTAGAGGTTGGTGGGTATTGCCTCGGAGCTTTTTGGGTGGTAGAAAATATTTTGTATCTAGATCTGGAATTTGATTACATTTACACATATATATGTATACACACCTACATATATATATATACATATATATGTAAAAATTCATGAAGCTATACACAAAAGATCCATATACTTTACACATTTCACTTTCTTGGATTTGATCTCAATTTTTAAAAATCCAAATAGCATATGCAAGTGAAACAAAAAATGAAAATGTACAATAAAAAAGACATCATTCCTTAATATGTAACACCTCTGCTTTGACCTCAGTTTTTAAAAAATTGTTTTAATGTTTCTTATTTATTTCTGAGAGAGAGATAGTATGAGTAGGAGAGGGTCAGAGAGAGAGGGAGACACAGAATCTGAAACAGGCTCCAGGCTCTGAGCTGGCTGTCAGCACAGAGCCCAACTCAGGGCTTGAACCCACAAACTGCGAGATCATGACCTGAGCTGAAGTCAGACACTTAACTGACTGAGCCACTCAGGCGCCCCCAACCTTCTTAGTTCTTTTAGGAGACAAAGCCTTAAAGCATAAATACTATGTAAATCCCACTTTGCTAATGCTACATTATTTAGAGTCACAGTGTCCTGAATTTACCTGATCTGATTCTTCTTTGGGTCTTGGGGTTTCTGCTCAACTGTCCTTTCCATCTATAGCAGCGTCTTGACTCTGACTTTCCTGGAATAATTTTCATTTCTGGAGCAAACTGCACCCTACAAAATATAAACATGCTCCAGTTCCCCTCCCTACACCTGTAAATCTTCTCTTGCAGCTGATGTCCCTCTTTTATATTGGAAACACTTGATATCACTGTTTCTCAGCTATTTTCAATTACCCTGTCACTTCACTTCCCCATCCTCCAAGGCTTTCTGTGTGTGAATGATTTAGCAGGATTCAGTAATTAGATATTTAAAGGGACCAGCTTCTTGTGAAACAAGACAATTTTTTTTTCTGCACAAAATTAACCCAGTTAACACTGTGTATGAGTTATATAGTCTTGTTCCCATGGTGAATATGCCAGGCAATGATCTGTCACTGTTGGGGGTAGATAGGTATGATAGGAGCATCTTATTCAAATTATTTAACCATTTTTTCAGCTGTAAAATAGGTAATAGAATTTCTGTGGGACTTAGGGTCAACATCTATAAAGCAGTAAAACAGATCCTGATAATGGTGAGTACCTTAAGAAAAATTCTGATCAGAACCATGTTGCTCACTGAGCATGTGCAGAATATGTCCATGGAAACCAGCAACAGCAAGAAAATGCCTCCAGTACAAATAAATGCACCCTACTTGGGAAGGACAAATCCCAAACAGGAAATGATCTCCTGTTGTTAACAGGCAACACAGAAAGAATGATTTGTTACGTAGAAAGAATTTCTTTAAAGATTGAGCTGAATTAATTATTGAAGATGTGCATGATGAGTAGGCAGGATAATATCAAGGCGTTCTAAATTATTTACACTTTATTGCTCTTAGTCTGTGGGTGTTTGACATGCCTCATCTTCTGCTGGGGGATTCTGCAGAGTGTTCTTGGCCCAGAATATTTTCTGATAATGCATATCTTTAAGAAATCCTGAGGTGTCCTATTCATTTAAAATAATCAGTTTCTTGAATTCTCTGTCACAAAGATACTGCTCTTAGCAATATCTTCTTTCAGGTTGCAGACTGTAGCTTTTGTTTTATGGTGCATGAGATGGAAGAGATGTTTCCAAGGAACATGTCAGGTTTTTTGTTAAATATTTATTTCTAGGCGAGAGAGAGACAGCATGAGCAGGGGAGGGTCAGAGAGAGAGGGAGTGACAGACTCTGAAACAGGCTCCAGGCTCTGAGCTGGCAGTCAGCACAGAGCCCGATGCGGGGCTCGAACCCACGAACCGCAAGATCATGACCTGAGAGAAAGTTGGATGCTTAACCGACTAAGCCACCCGGGCACCCTGGAACATGTCAGTTTTGAATGTGCAACCAACTGTTCTACCATTTCTGAAAATCTTGATGTAATGGTAAAAATGATGTTAAGAAGGTCTTTACCACTTATTTTACTTAGGTCATCTCCTGGAGCTTTGGGGCTCCCAATGGTCCACATATGGCCATGTGCTCTAGTGTGGCAATTAAAGTTAAGCAGCCGCTGTGGCATGTCCACACATTCCTCTGGAGCCAGATGCAGGTATTATAGGAAGGGACTGAGAAGTTCCCCCTGAGACCAAAATGCACACACAAAGAGAAGGGGGAGAATATTTACAAACAGCTATGAAGAAAATTTTGATTTGACTTACCTGGAATTCTTTCTCATCTTTATCCATAAGAAGAGAATCAGAGGCATCAAAGTCCTGTGCAAATTAGTTGTCACTAATGTCTTGAGCATCCCAGATTCCCATTCTTGCTCTATTTCCCTCAGGATAAATGATTATGGGGTCCGAGCAAAGGTCAGATGTTCAGGATAGGCTCTAGAAGAATCCAATACATTTATCATTTTTTTACATTAAATTTTCCCTAAATCTGCAGAGCCCTGGCTCTAAGAAATACCCTAAACCTAGGATTTGAGGTGGATGTAGGGAAGTGGGTGTGTGTGTGTGTGTGGGGGGAGAAAATAGGATTATATTTGGTTTATCTTTGATCACTCTATCCTAATATAGAGGTTTTTACTCTAGGAATCTCTATGCCAAGATGCTTACCTTGATTGACATCCTTTGAATTAAGTTAGAAACTAGGAATTTGAGAGAGATGATTAAAAACCTTAATTGGGGCCATCCATAGCATTTATTTATTTTCATTTTGTAACCCTACCATCATCTGTGGGCATCTAACTTTTTGACATTTTGGCCAGATCCATTTGGGTAGATCGATTCTAATAGGGTCTTTAAATTACTAGAAGATAGAAGAGGAAGGGCAAAAGTTCTTAGTCCTAACCTTCAGGTACACCTGGTAAGGCCTTGTAAATCTGAACCAACTCTGTTTTCCTTCCCTTCAGGGGGTTGGAACAGCCAGGCAATATCTAAGAGGGCTCTGCCTGGGCACGTCTGGTCTGATCCCTGGAATGGGATGGGGACCAGAAGCTGTCAGCAAGGTAATGGACTGAGATGCTCCATGTGAGTTAGTTCTTACATTTCCACTGCAATCTTTTGTTTGACATTAATTTCCAGACCCTCAAAGAGATCCTTATTCAAATGAGTTAATTCCAAAGAATATCCCCAGATTAGTGTGGATTGTTTTACTGTTCCTTTAAATCAGAGTGGATGCTCTCACTGCCATTGTCCCTGCCCACCTTGACTCCTGCAGGGCAATAATTCTGTCCTGCCATTTACCACCCATTCTCCCTTCTTATTTTTGGCTTGCATCTCTGAATGATTTTCAGATCCTCTGCATTTCTTTTCATGACATCTCTGACGTTCCTAATTCTGCATTCCAGACAATTCCTGACCTCCTGCTGTTGGCTCTTTATGGGAACTCTGGATGTGTCCTTGCCAGGATAGAAGCCCTCAGCTCCTGTTGGCCAAAAAGCTGGCAGACCCCTTAATGTGTCTGTAGGCCTTTTCCTTCTTAAGCCTCGGTTTCCCCTTTACTCAGAGACCTTAGAAAGTCTCTTTGCCCTTGTTTGTGATAATGTGTTAGATCTGTAAAAGCATTTTCTTGCTAAATCCCACCTTCTCTTTCCCCTGTATTAGCAAGAACCCTTTTTTTACTTCAGAAAAAGTCTCCTGAATGCTTTTCTTTCTTTCCTCCCTTACCTTAGTTCCTGTCTGCAGCATTCTGGAAGCTCATCTGCAAGTGTGTATGTGGGTAGACTTTGGGGAAAGTGTATGCAAGATACAGGACTAAACACTGACCGTTTCTTGCTTACTTAATGTGACTCCAGGAGAAGGGGCTTGGGCAGGTGAAGAGCCCCAGAGGAGGGAACACAATCTCCGTTCCTGGCTGGTTTCTGCCTTGTCTAAAGACTGCCATTATACCTCCCCCTGAATCCCAGGGCAGCACTGCCTTCCTATAGCTAGAACGCAAGGGTGCAAGAGCACCAGCCCGGGGGGTCCCAATCACACAAGGTTTAGCCACTTGCTAATGACAAAATCCAAAGACAGAGAGACAAGTGGTGAAGAAACAAGAAACAAGAAAGGAATTAATGCAGTGAGGCCAATACTGGGAAGACAGTAGACTAGCCTTTCAAAGACTGTCTCCAGAGTGTCAAGCATACTTCCAGGTTTATATGAGGAAAACGTGGGACAAAGATGGGTGGGTACGTGCGAGAGGACAGTGAAGGTTAGGTGGATCATGGTCTTGGGGTCACTCACTTGGGGGTCTTGCTGGCTCAGGGCAGTTCTCATTGCTCGAAGGGGTAGTTTCACTTCCCCTCAGGGGAGGCTTTGCCTACAGGGTCCTTTGCCCAAGTTAAGAGATAAGCTGCAAAGAAGAACTACTCAATTAGAAAGTTTGAGGTCAGAACGGAGGTAGGTGAAGTGTTCTTTCATTTCCAGACAGCGGACAGAAAAAGCCCTTCTTTACTGTCGGTAACCATAATGGCGGACCTATGTGGACTGTTTATTACGCGCTAAGCTCAGGACAGCAATCATTTTATTGAATCCTTGCTCTGAAGAAGTTCTGAGAGGTGGGTCCTATTTTACAGATGAGGTCACGGAGGCCCAAGAAGTGGCAGAGCTCTGCTAGAAACCCAACTCTGACCCCAGAACTAGAACACTTGCCCTAGCCCCAAGCTGAAACCAGTCACTGCTGTTCTGGGACTGCCCTGGCAATGTCTTCTTAGTTGTCACATTATTTGGGACACTGCATCAGGGCTCTCAAGAGGAAGGGACACTTTGAGTAAATCAACATTGACAGTCACTGTCAAAATGGCAGTGCATTCTGGCCTGTCAGGCAAACCCCCTTCTCCATGAGAAGGCTCCGGCTCCCTGTCACTCTGGGGCACTGACTAGTCTTCCAGAACGTACACATTGCAAGATGGTTATCCTGTGAGTCTATCTGGTGTGTCTTGTTTGGGTTCAGTTTTGAGTGTTTCATTTCTTTTTGGCCCCCGACAGAATCATATCCAGTCCTTCTATCCCATTCCTTTTTGGAGGCATGGGTCTTCTTTTCCTACAAGTGATCAACCAGTCAGGACTGAATGCAGTTGAGGTAATCTCTCGTTTCCACTCCCACAATATGCCGGTCTTCTGTACTTCTAGAGCCCCTCAGGCACACTCCCTCTTCTTACCAGATCGCAACTGTGTGCCTTCTGTTGCCTCTTGTAGACCAGCAGTGCCTGGAAATTAGTGGATAGCCCACAAATGCTTGTTGAACGAGCAAATAAATATTTGAAGCTTTCAATATGTAGAATTATGGAATTCTGACAGAACTGCTGTTATGTTCCCCTTGGAAAAGAGCCATGTGCTTAATTTCAGGAGAGAAGGATTGCGGCAACTATATCATACTGACTTTTGTCTTTTTTTGATAGCTTCTAGTTCCTACCAGACCTCTCCCATGCCTGCCAAACAGAAGCCCACACACTTTTATACCCACACACTAAGTAGGTAAGATGTAGCTTGATGAGTATACGGCTCTTCCCACCCCAGCTTTCTGTGTCCATTTAGGTACTTGGAAGTAAGCTAACCTTTGTCCTTTTGTTTGGTTAGACTCATGATCATCATGTTTATATCAAGCCATTGGGCAAGAGCAGTTAGGTGTGACACTGTACCAGATGCTGTGTTCTTACAGACATAAAAAGCTTCAATTTCCAACTCTGGAGGGGAGAATCAGGCCTTATCAAGATCACCTGGCAGAACGTGTGTTATTTATAAACCCAACTAGCTTATCACTGATGAGAATGTAATCTTCACTGAGAGAGGCTTTTAAAGATTTCTGTTAATTTTTGCTTCATCATTTCAGAAAATCTTTAGCGAGGCCTGATCAGACAGTTATTTCTGGCTGGATTTAAAGTCCATTTTCAGAATACTGCTTGGCTCTTTGTTCCTTGCCCCTCCGCTACCCATCTCCTCCCCTGACTCATCTCTTCTAGAACCTTCTCTTTCCTTCCCAAATACTGGGAATGATTTACCAAATGCATTTCCCAGCCAGCTCCACTGGCTACAAAGACCAATTTACAGGAACAAAGTGTCTGCGTGTTATCACTGGGTCATGGTCCAAAATTCATTTAAGAATCAGTTATTGGAATTAACAATGTTTTTTTTCTCCTAGAAACAATGGTGGTGGAGGGTGCTCTGGATATGCCTCTGAAGCCCTCTTATCCATAATACAAGCTGAACGGTAACGCAAGTTAGGGATCTAGAAACAGAAAGAATATATACGTATTACAGAAGAAAATATGAGGGAAAGGAAGAGGAAAAATGGGAGAAGAAGGGAGATTTTCCTCTCTGTCTTTGTTAATGAAGTTCTGGGCCAGGGCCACAGTTCATAATAATTGGGTCCTATGTACAAAGCCTCTTGTGGTCTTAGAGTAAGAAACAGTTAAACTGACCCATGTTAAAGGAACGTCAGTTTACACAACAACATTGCTTGCTATCAAACCCTCGGGATAAGCATGTTGCTAACAATGCATTTCTTCCTTTGAAGCAAATCTGCAAAGGAAGTTAGAGAGCAGTTAGAAAGCTGTGTGGTAAGCTTCATGTAGATCAGGGCATCAACTGCTATAGGATTTGACAAAAACGTCTTTAGGCCCCACTCTTCTCTCCTCTAGGCACAGCATGCAAAATCAAGGCTCAGGGCTTGCTTCTTTCATTCTCCCTTTTCTAGACCATCTGGCTCTTGGCTAGACACCTTCTTGCTCTAACTGTAGTGCTACCTTCAATTAGATTAGAGCCAACATTTGTAGGCATGGAAGCCATTCCGATCCTTTAAAATTGATGTAGTATCACTTGCTCCATTCTTATATAACATGTATGGATTTTTGTAGTTTAACTAGCAGGAAACAACTTACTTTCTATGTTATCAAGAATAGCTTTAACGTAATGTTTCCAACCTCCTCCCTACCATGTTCTGAGTATACCTTCAACTAGACACCATCGCTATTTTATGTGTGTATGGGCGAGCAGAATAAGTGTATCTTGTTTCATAAAATCATTCCACAGAATTAAAAATGTTTGCTGCCTCAAAACCTTTTTAGAAGTAGCAGTAATATTTCCCTGATGAGGAGGGATGCTGAGCATCATTTCATGTGTCTGTTGGCCATCTGGATTCCCTCTTTGGAGAAGTGTCTGTTCATATCTTCTGCCCATTTCTTCACTGGATTGTTTGTTTTTCGGGTGTGGAGTTTGGTGAGTTCCTTATAGATTTTGGATATTATCCCTTTATCTGATATGTCATTTGCAACTATCTTTTCCCATTCCATCGGTTGCCTATTAGTTTTATGGATTGTTTCCTTTGCCGTGCAGAAGCTTTTAATCATTTAAAAGGGCCCAATAGTTCATTTTTGCTCTTGGTTCCCTTGCCTTTGGGGATGTGT